TCAACTAATTCGAGTAAATTTGATATGCTCGATTCTGGATGTCGAAACGAGAGATATTCGTCGATTGTCAGACTAAAAAGATCGGTGCGCGCCGCTTCGGACCAACGCGCCTTATCGCGCATCATATCTTCGCGCGCCTTCCTATTCAATGCGGTGTGTTTGATTTCGTTGTGCTCATCAATGTCCGCTTCCGTCATGCCGTGCTCTTTGAGAAAGAAATGATGGTATTCCTCCCATGTGATTAAACCGTCAGCGGGCGCTATGTCGACGCGCTGAAATTCGCGTGGATTATTTTGTATTGCCTCCTCAATGTGATCGATGATCTTTTGATTGATATACACGGCGAGTTCTTGGATTGTCAACTGTGAGTTGTGATCGCGATCGGCACTAAAGGTAAAGAGGAGAATAACGAAAGTATCTCGGGTTAGTTGAGGCAGTATTTAGGTTTACAAAATAGAATTAGAGAGTTACAACACTCGGAGGTTTCCCATTGCCTGCCGAGACGCCACTGCTATTTGGAAAAAAACCTATTTTTTTTGACGTTGCTCGAACTAAGTATCGAACCCTGAACCTATCGAGTGGCCACGGAAGCTGCCACTAATACGAGTACAAAATAATAATTGAAAATATAGAGGTAATTATGAAAATATTGCTGCCATGGTAATTTTCCCCGGGAACCCAAATGAGTTAAAGACTATTTAGCCATCTAAAGCGGAGATGGGCGAGAGTCCAGCACAATTTTTGATTTAATTTAAGCCGAGCTATAATTTGCTGATAAAGCCTTCTCAGACATCTTTTATCATTGAAAAGTCTGAATAAATTTAAATTGACAGGTGGCAACCCTCTTTAGAAACACAATCATAACAACAATTTCTTATACCGTTTTCGATTGACATCCATTTGTAATACTTTTTCTACTTTTGAAAAAAAACAATGAAATTCAACTTTTAAGCAGGTGGCAACCCTCTTCAAAATATTTTTAAAATAAACTTTTCTTAAGCCTCATTCGTTAGCCACTCATACTGCAGTACTTGATCGAACTTAAAACTGCCACACCCACTCAAAAACTTTGACATTTATGTATAATATTAGTAGGAGTTTGTTTAACTTATTATTTACATTCCTAAACTGGTGTCAACCCTCGTCAAAAATATTTTCGTGAAAACTCTATCGTTTTCTATCAATATTAAAATGTTTCATTTAACTTATTATTTAAATTGCTTTTAACTTTTTTAACAGGCGGCAACCCTCATGAAGAATATTTCGGAAATAAATGGCTTGGGAACCCTTTAGTTTTGGCACATACATTGTTGTGCTACCTCACTTAACTTATTAATCAATCGATTTTAGCCTTTTTAACAGGTGGCAACTCCTTAAGGATATTTTCAATATAAATCTTTTTGGACATCTACACTGTTGTAATGTTTAATTTAACTTAATCTTTTATTGATGTTAACTTTTGAAAAAGGTGGCAACACTCTGAAAAATTACCTTATATTTATGTTAATCCAGGTTATAACTATCTGTGTATTAATTTATATACATATATAACGTATAGTAGGAACTGGCTGATGAATTGGCGAACCGCGCTTCTCAGGCCTGACACGGTCTTCTTAGGCAAAGAAGGAATGATCTATAACCCCTGAAAGGACTGATTACGGGGCACAATTCATGATGACGAAATATGGTCACCATAGGCATCATCGACGATCTACTGTGCACATCTTGTTTGGAGGATAAGGAAAGTACAGGGCATTTTCTCTGCCGCTGTTCGGACTCCGCCAGCCTTAGATGGTACATTTTTGGATCGGATGTATTGATATTGGCCGAGATACATTCTCTTTTCCTCAACTAACTGCTAAGATTCACAAAGGAGTAAGTTTGCAATGGAGCAATGAATTCCCCTCCACCTCTAAGCCCTTAAGTACAATCAATGGGCAATGCTGCCTGAGTGCTTGGAAAAATTCCATTCCATTCGAAGAACAAACATAAAAGCGTTAACAGTTATCAGTTGAATTTCAAATGCGTTTTCCAAATTATACCAATTATCTTTGTGTGTTTTCTCTTTGGTCCTGAGTATAGTTCTTAGTAATGTAAGCCGTTGTAATTCAGTTGTCGCAAAAAAAATTGCAAATTTTCCATTCAATTAACGTAAATTGCCGCTTAAAACTTTTTAACTTAGCCACTAAAAATAGTTAAAGCTCTGCCTTGCTGCTTGCAAGTAGATATCTTTGGTAAACTTCATTCAACCGAAACTAACTTTCGACTGCTTACATATATACGAGTACATACATATAGTATATATTGGATGTATGTATGTATGCATGAATGTAAAACATGGTTGCATACTCGCACTACATAGAAAAGCCAACTATTTCCCAGCGCAAATCTTTTAAGTTTACCACAACTTTTTTGTAAAATACCTCATTTTACGCCCACATAATCCGTGAAAGTGTTCGTACACGCACGTGTATGTACATAGAGACCCAACAGTAAATCGAATTAGTTCAGAACTATGGCCGACCCAGCTCACCGAGAGTACGGTGCTGTTTCTCGATCCATTCCAGCGCAACCAGATGAAAAATTGGTTCGGTTCGGTTCTGCGGTTGGAACCGTTTTTGCATTTTTGGACTAGTTCGTCAAAGCGGTTTTTTGGTCTTTGAACCGAGGTTTCGGTTCGGTTCAACGGTTCGGAAAACAACAAAAAAAAGCGCAAGTGTAAGTGTCAAGTGCCTGTCAAATGAGATGGGTTTCCTTAACATTTGATATTACACATGGTAAACAAACGTGCTAAATTTATCTATTGAAAATTGGTTCAAACATTTTTAGAAAATTTCGGCTCGGTTAATGGTTCAGTTAATTCATAGAAAAAAGCGGGTTTTCGGTTCAAAACCGGTTCACATCCCTGGTCACGCCCAAAACAAATTCCGCAGGAGATGCTTTTTAAAGTTTTTTGTTGCGGATTTTGTATGGGCTGACTTACTAAGAACTCTCCGTAAGAGCTCTCTATGGCCGGCACTGGTGTAGATCAGCGAAGATCAGAGAGAGAAGGAAGTACTTCGCAGCTTTTACCGCCTCTTTTAGAAAAAGCTTTGATGACAGCGAAATTAGCAAAAGGTTAGTTTCATCCGCTTTGCTCTATGCAGTTAACAAATTCGAAGTGCGGAACTAGCGCTTACTGGGCTGTCTTCAAATTTTTCTGCCTGATATATGCACTGAGTTCCCTTGTATGTAGGTATGTATTGACCGCTTAATATGTAAGTATGTAGTTGTATGTATGCTTAGTAAAAAACTTGTAGAAAATTTAAACTTTTCATTTGCTTTTTAATAGTATCAAGACCATCAAGTTTGTTTCTACTTTTTGTTGTTGCATTTCTCTAACCCCGAAGTGTTGCAGACTGTCTTTGCTCTAAATTCTGACGCAAGAAATGTTGTGAATTTGCATTTTAAATGCCGCAGTGCAGCGTAGCGAACAGCATAAAGTAAAGATAAGCAAAGTTACAACATAAATAGGCGCTTATGAATATATGAATGAGTGTGGATATACAAATGAACCGAAATATAACACTGCAGTGAAATGAACCACAATATTTTAGAATTTTTGTGACTATAAAGAATCGTATGTACGTCTATTCTACGTCTATGTGCTGGAAATAAATATTCTACAAAAAGTTTAAAAATATTAAAGATCGGTTTACATTAGTTTAACTTTCTTTATCTTAAAGGCCGCTGAGACACGCAACTCCAATACACAACACTCCGTTTACGTATGTCAACCGTAAATCGACAGATTCTGCCCCAAAGTGTTTGGTTGGTAAGATTCAGAAGGCCCTCGATTTTAAGAAGGTTACTTTATGTGCTTTCCTGGACATCGAAAGGGGCTTTCGATAATACCGCCTATTAATCTATCTCATGGGCACTGGTCCAACGAGGCCTAGATCCGCCAACTGTCAAGTGGATCGACACCATGCTCTGTGAGTGTGATACCAGATCATCTATCGCCTCTAGGCAACAGCTCCGTGGATAACTTCTTAACCAAACTGAAGAAAGTGGCTACGATGCTGTTGGTTATGCGGACCACCTAGTTATTATTGTAACGGGAAAATTCGGCAGCACTTTAGCAGACGGTATGAGTGCAGCTCTGCGCATGGTGTTATACTGGTGCGCTAATGAGGGCCTCCGCATAAACCCGCAAAACGCTGTTCTGGTACCGTTTACAAGAGGGGACAAGCCGAACATTAGTTCGGTTACCCTTGGATGAAACAGTGCTTGAATACTTTCACGAAGTTAAATATTTTGGGGTTACCCTAGATAAGAGACTACGTTGGAATTCCCATCTAAAAAACTCTTAGCAAAGTCACCCAAGCCGTGTGGGCCGGTCGAAGACTTTTTTCGGCCGAACATTGGGTCTAAACTCCAAACTAATAGAGTGGCTATACCGCACTATAATCCATCCGATTTTAGCTTATGCCTTTATAGTCCAAAGGATGGCTTTACTGTCGGTGACAGGACCAATGTGAACGTGTCCAACCGCGGCCTTAGAATCGCTCCTAGGCTCGACGCTACTCCACATTTTTGTCCAAGCAGCAGTTTCGAAGAATTTGCAAATGCAAAATTCCGACAGTACAGGAGTGGGCGACAGCAGAGCAATTTGTGCCAGACTGAACCTTGAAAAGAGTTTAAATGGCGCGTTTCTAGTTTTATTTTAAGATAGCCAGGCGGCCATAAGTGCCCTTTCCAATAGGACGATCACCGCCAGGCTCATCAAGGAGTGCTTTCAACTCTTGTCAGCAAGGAACCCGGTATTACTATGCCGGGTAACGGGACTCTACGGAATCGTGGGGAACGTGGCCGAAGATGAATTGGCCAGGGAAGGCTCATCGTCTGTACTTGTGGGTAAACTTAGAACGCAGTAAGTATTGGGGAGAGTTATCTTTTCGCTAGGAAAGATATAAATCTTCTGAACAGAACCGCTAACAAGCTACTTGTTGGCTATCTGACGGGTCATAATCACCTGCGCTTTCATATGCACCGGATTGGTGTGTCCACAGAGATGGACTGCCGTATTTGCCTTAAAGACGAGGAGACGTCGGAGCCCATTTTGTATGATTGTCCGGCATTGGCCAGACTAAGACAGCAATGCTACAGTTATTCCATAGTCGATGCCCGTGAGGTTAGAAATTCGTCTATCAAGAAACTTTTTAACATTTATAAGGGAGGCTAATAACATCTTGGGCTGTCAGGGTTAGGGACCATTATAAAGATACAAAAGATCTTCCAGGTCGCGGTGTCCCTTTATCTTACACCCAAAATATTTACGTTACATTATTTCCAGGCGTATACCTTGGAGGTCCACTGTGATACCACTGTGAAAGGCGGTAACCTCA